GTAGTCAACACACATTCAGACCTTACCATCCTTCTTCGGCACTAGAACCACGTTAGCAACCCACTGAGGGTAAGAAGTTACTGCTAGAAAACCGGCGTCGAATTGTTTCATAACCTCAGCTTTAATTTTCTCGGACATCTCTGGACGCATACGGCGAACCTTCTATTTTACCGGAGGACAGTCTTCCTTGGTAGGCAGGTGATGAACCACAATGTCGGTATCCAACCCAGGCATATCTTCGTAAGACCAGGAAAAGATTTCCATGTAGTCATGCAGCATCTGAGTCAACCGTTGTTTCACACTAAGCTCCAGATTCGCACCAATCTTGACTTCCTTTCTGTCTGTCTCAGTACCCAGATTTACCGTTTCTACTAGCTCTTCATGTGGCTGAATGGCCCTCTCTCCCTGGAGTAACAGTCTTGCAAGCTCACCAGGCACTTCGCAATCATCTTCACCTTCGTCTTCGGCTAAGTTGATCGGATTTTCGAAGTCATAACTGGCAGTAGCAGAGTCGTTACCAGTGAGATCCAGAGTGGATTGGGACCTGTATATGTGAGTGTGTGTAAATATAGCTGTTTTGCAATATGTAATAAAGAAAGACAAGGAGCGCAAGATTTGAAATGCAAAAAACGTCCAATGCTTTTATTAATGATATATGAAAATGACACACAAAAGCCCTCACAAATGAAGCCACGGTGCCCCGGGTAAGACACCGGACCATAAAGTTTCAAATTATTGTTTGTTACAAATTTAAAACAAAGGAGTTCATTACTGAGTGACAAAAGTAATAGGTATGAAGTCTTTCGCAGTCCAGTTGCTTGGTCCACCGTCGGTCGTAGGGTAGATCCAGCTGTCGAATTCAGATTCCTCCATGTCATCTTCAATAGCATTTACTCCCGAGTTGCTGATGAACACGGGAGGTCTTCCAATCCTTGCCTTACGAACAGCCCTCTGAGCTTCTGCAGTGAAACCCAAACCAAACTTGTCAGTCTTCGGAGTGAAATCAGGAAGTCGGCCCCAGTTTGCACACTCACCCTTCTCAATCACAGCCCGGGAATCCTTTAAGGAAGCCATCTTCAACGGAGAATCCTCTTCAGTCACAGTCTGTTGATGCCAGTGTATGAGTAACCTCTTCAAAGTGTTGAAATGGAGTCTCAATGAATTCCCCATCCATCTATATGTAATGGAACGAGTTGAGGTGGTTGACCATGTACTCTTCCTCCCCCTGAACTGTCACAATCTTCCCTCTGACCGGGTATTTCAGCTTCTGATGTAGTGTGGAGGTCACAACTCTAGCTTTATGGATCCAAGGACGACCCAGTAAACAAGAATAGGATGGTCTGATGTCCATCACATAGAATGTAGAATCAAAGACCTGCGAACCAACCCTGATTGGAATATCAACCTCGCCATGTACCATCCTCTTAGACCCGTCAAAGGCCCGGACAACAATGTTACTTGGCTTTAGTTCCAACCCCTCGTAATCCAACCTGTCTAGAGGTTTCTTGGGCAAGACGTTCAATGAGGACCCAGTGTCAACCAACACATGTGCAAGAGTAGTGCCCCTGCATTCAATGGAGACATGCAGGGCATCGTTATGGTTCTTCCCTTTAGCAGTCAGATCGGCGTCGGAGAAACCCAAACCATTATCAGCAGTTAAGTTAGCCACACAATCGGTAAACTGATCAGTTGACGTCTCTTGTGGCACGTGGGCCGTCTTCAGGAAGGTAATCAGAGCCTTGGCATGGGCCTCTGAACACAATAACAGTGATAGCATAGAAATTTTAGATGGGGTGTGCCCCAGCTACTCAACTACGTTGAAATCACTCTTCTTGATAATCTTAAGGATCTCTTCCATCTATAGCTTGGAAGCTTCAACAGTGGTTGTCTTTGGTGCCTCCGTTCGGGCAGGCATATCAGTAGCAATCCCTTTGCCCCAAGCGTCAGATGACTCAGAAGCAGGGGTAGAAATGGGAACTTGATCAGGAGGGGAAATAGGTACACTTGCAGGTGTGATGACAAGAGGTCTCTGGATAGCTGGTGGCGCAATATCTGGTGAGAAGAGCCTGCCACTACGAGTGACTTTAGCAGGCCCGGTGGTGTTGCTGACGCTGGTACTAGTATCAAATTCTTGTTTAACTCCAAGCACTATAAACATCTTCCCCATAGTGCCACGGGACAGCTTTGTCGGATGTATAGGGGATGGGCCCCGGAACAGTGATGATGATAGGTGCAATCTTCTGAACAGGCATGATTTTGACGGGCTTCCTCGGGGAAGCCTTAGGAGAATTGTTGAAAATAGTAACAATGGACACTTCTTCAGTAGGGGTAGCAGGAACAACAACCTTCTCAAACAGGATTTCTTTATTATCCATCAGGTTTTGGACGCCTGACTTCAACAAAGGACAACTAGCAGGTGAAACAGAACATAGAAGGCAACCTTTACTACATCCCAGAAATAAATCGGCTAGCAACAGGTTCCTCTTGACAGTTAACAGCGGAGTAACAATATCATCCACAGAGGTTACATACAGGTCTTCCTCTATAACATTCACTCCATGCTTGGGCATGGGAGCCGTCACAACATTGGGCCTTTTGGGCGCCTCGAACTCTATTTCTTTAGCATCAATAAGGTCCTGAACCTTATTCTTCAGAGCCCAACAATCATCTGTAGCATGCCCCGGGCTGTCAGAGTCGTAGGCGCAGCGGGCGTTAGGATTGTACTTTGGAGATGTTGTGTTTACAACCTTCGGAGCTTCTTTTATAGTTACCAGATTGGTTGTCAGTAGCTGCGGCAATATCTAGGACAAGGTCATACTGAGTCGAGTGAACTGCCTTATGGGTCTCTCACCCTTTTGTTGGTTATATTGCTGAGGAGCAGCAGCAGGCTTTGAAATTACCACCGCGTTGACAGCTTGGCAGCGTTCCGGTTTATTATGTCTCCTTGAACCATAAACAGCACTAGATTCTTTCTTGAAGGGCTTCTTTTCAGAGCTCGGGGAGGCCCCTTTCTATATCTTCCCAGACTTGATACCAGCTTCTATTCTCTCACCAGTCAAGATAAGATCTGTAAACCCAGAAGAAGAATTTCCAATCAGATGGTTGAAGAACGGACCAGACAGGGTCCCCAAGAACATATCAACAAGCTCACGGTCAGTCAAAGGTGGCTGCACCCTTCCAGCCAGGTCTCTCCACTTTTGAGCATATTCCTTAAATCCTTCACCCGTCCCTAGTGACATACCCTAGAGTTGGGTACGCGTAGGAGTGAGGTCAGAATTATACCGATACTGCTTATACACTACGCCAAAAATGATTTTTTGTATCACCTAATTTAATAGCACTTTTAAAAAAAATGCTATTAAAATGGAAAAAACACATTTATAATAGCACTTTTTAATCGGGCGCTATTATATAATACAGACTATGTAATTATGATAGCACTTTGTACCAGAACGCTATTATTAAACTTCTTTAAGATAGCATTTTGTATAAAACGCTATTATTTGACTACCTATATAATAGCATTTATTAAAAAGCGCTATGTTATATATAATAATGAATTAATTAATTAATTGATAAAAAAAAACAAAATACATTTTCAGAAAACACTATCTTCCTCACCGCCAAAACACTATCTTCCCGCATCCACTCACCGCATCCACTCACCGCCAAAACAAAACACTATCTTCCCGCATCCACTCACCGCATCCACTCACCGCCAAAAACAAAAACACTATCTTCCTCTGCTTCCTTCTTAGCCATTGATTCTCCCAACTGATTCACCGCCGTCAAATCTTCCTCTGCTTCCTTCGGTTTTCATTGATTCACCGCCGTTAGTCATTGATTTACCACCGTCATCCCTTCCTTCGGTTTTCACCCGGATCCATTCTTCAGCCATCGGATTCACCATCGATTCAGATTCAGATTCACTTCTCAAACGACACTCAAACAGAAGGAGGAAACACCGAAAAGAAAGAACAACCAAATCTCATTCTCCGTCGAACTCAACCCTTTGTCATATCACCTACGTCGTCGTCATCCCTCTCTTCATTTGTATCCGGTAATATTTCTTTTTTCAGTTTCTGCTATCTGTTGATTCTCTGTGTTGTTTGTGAGCGTTATGATGTCTTTGTGTTGACGGATATTCGTGATTTTGAGTAGCTGTAATGAGGGTTTGTGAGGTTAAGTTGCAGTTGTGAGGGTTCGTGAAATTTGAGTTGTTAGGTTGGACATTTTTGTTTGCGGGGATCAAGTTCGCAAGGGAGCTGCACTTAACGCAATCCAGATTGCAGAAATGTTGCTGTGAGTTTTGATATGTCAAAGTTTTGGTACCTCAAAATTACGCCTCCCCAGTTTTTGAGTTAGTTTTGTATCTGCTAGTTGGAAGGGATTATTCTTAGTTTTTGTAAGGTTTAGTTAGTCAAAAGAATTTTTCCAGTATCTTGTAATACACTAGCTTGAACTATTTCTTTTTCATGGCCTTAATTATTTACATATTTTCTGTAGTTCACCCCTGTGAGAATGAATAACAAGCATTGGTTATGGCATGTGAAATATATCATCCAATACTCCTTGATTATGGAAGTGAGAATATATTGACTAGCTTTGATTTGTTGTTAGCCTGGACGCGTCACACAAAATGCTACACCGTTTGCCAACTAATCAAAATTAGATTTACTTCCTCTATTTTCATATTAGATGTTTTGCTCTTCTGTGTTTGGTTGAAATTAAGTAGAAGGAAGTTACATTTCTCCTAATGTTTAAACTAATTTTATCTCCCTTCCAAAAGTTAGGTATTTAGAATGAGTGTAATACTTTTATAGTTAATAGTCTTAAATGTTTATTACAAAGAGATGAAAAATGTAATTTGTATTTTTCTTCAATTAAAATCTCTTTTATTCTCTTGTTGGAACAAACACAAGCACACTCCTTTTAATTTGGACAGTATATTCACTGCTACCAGCACTGCTTCATACCTCTTAGAATTTAGAAATCCTGTAATGCAATCTAAGGAAAGGTCTTCTTCCCAAACAACATTAGGAACTAAGCGAGGTTGTAATAATACTGAGAATTGTTGTTGCATAGTTTTGTCTGTGACCTATGTCACAAAGGTCACAATACCTCACATAATTCCGACTTTCTTTTGTATTTCAACCCAATACAGGTTTGCGGCTAAAAATCTGTAAGTTCTAAGGAAGCATGAATGTCCTCCCGTAAGGAAATAGAAGGTGAAGTATGAGGTAAAACCTAGGGACATATTATTTTATAAAACCTAGGACATATTATTTTGTCAAATCTGCATTTAGCGTTGTTAGCCACAAAGCAGTCATTTGCTGATGTTGTTAATGTTTATTTCAAATGACTTAAATTTTCCTTCTCATTCATATTTTACACCAAAAGGTCATAAAAAAGACATAACATATTTTCTAAGGTAGGTCCTGAATATATCATTCATAGTGGATGGAATGAAGTTTTATGGAGAGCAAAAAAGTCAGTACATTGGTTGAAGATGAGTTGAAAAGTTTGTTCTAGTTTGAGTGATAAAGCTTCTGTTGTTTTGGTGTGATTTAGTCACAATTAATCGATTCTTCTTTTCAATCCAAGCAAAAATTGGCATTTCGTTAATGTTGGATGTTTTTTTGATTTCAGGAAAAACTTGATCAGTGGCTCTGTAGACAGCAAGAGGGTGGATCAAGACTTGCAAATGTGAATCCAGCTGCTGAAGCAAATGTAAGTATTACCATTTTGTATTCAAAACCGTTCACTGCTCGATCTATCTAAATCTTCAGTTGGATTTAATTCCAGATATTTGGTGATCCAGATGCTGCTGATGTTGTATTCACAAGTGGCGCAGATATATTGGCAGTTGGAATAAATGTTACTCACCAAGTCGTATTGTCAGGTACCCCTATGCCAAATTCATATGCACTCAGTTTTTTCATGCTTACGTAGGTATTTTGTTAAAATGACTAATCATCTCTTGGCAAATCTTATGTGGTTTAACATCTAGTTCTTCAATTGTTATGATAATTTTCTTTCCTTTTCCTTTCATGATTTATGCATCATGATCCAGCAACCTTTTATATGACTATTTTAAACTTTTATATTAATAAGTTCCCATAAATAATGTTTTCAACTCAACAGATTTCATGGATGTCTCCCTAACCAAACTAGTATTCTCGGGAGACCTTTGATTAATGGATAATATTGTGGTAGATAATAATCTATTTTCCATGGTATCACCGCACTTTTAGTATTTAATGCAGACACATGCCAAAGGCAGGGAAAGATCACCGTGTTTAGATTGAGAGAGACCGAGTTCAAAAGTTTCAACTAACTTAAATAATTTCCCCCCATGATAATTGTCAATGACTAACTCTCAAAAGTTTCAGTTGTTAAGTGAAGTTCGTGACTGGTTTTATATCTATAACTAGTTCCTATAATATTTTGAAACCCATGAAACTTTTTATTACCTTTGTGTCTCTATTGGCAGTATTTTAGCATGAAACTTGACATCGGTTGACTGCTATGAGCATGCTTCTATTTTAATTATGGTTCATGTCACTTGTCATGTTAACATTTGTTTTGGTTTACCCTCATCCGAAAAAACAAAATGACTAGGTTCTGATCGAGAAAAGTTAGCAAGTTCAAAAGGAAAATTTGCTCAATACCTTACCGGAATCTTAGAGGTGTATTTCTCTTACCATTGTGACGCATACAACACCAATGGTATGTCTTCATTCTGCATTAAAGAGATAATATAGGCCTAATCATCCGAATTATTAATAGTTCTTTTATACAGGAGTTTACCTTCATGACCCTACAGCGTTGCTTGCAGCCGTTGATCCTTCACTCGTAACTTGCACAGAAGGTGCTGTTAGAGTCCAAACCAGTGGCATAACAAGGGGACTTACAATTCTCTACAATAAACAGAAAAGGTAGAAAGCACTAGGAGTTGATAGCCCTGAAATTTATCTATATGAATGTTAATGCCATTTTATAGCAGTTCTGTCTCTCTCCAAATTTCTCAGAATAGTTTGTAAAGATGCTATGGGATTGCATTGACTCTACCAAAGAAATAGGAATTTTTCAGTGACCAACCTAGTTCTTTAGGGGAAGGAAGTAAACTTTTCGTAAATGGTTTAGGCTGTTGTTTGATAGGAGTTTAGATTGCATTAAAATTTAAATGAATTCCCCGGCCTTTTGTTTATATATTCCTTCTATTTGATTAGGAAGAGCAATTTATGTGAAGATTTCCCAGGTATGCCTAGAACATTCTGTTTCAGATAACTGTTACATTCTCAAGTACACTGCATTAGCTCTGGCCTGGCCAAAATCTACCTTGCTGGACCAAACATGATGACAGGGATAACTACAGAGATACTTCGTTGGTGAATAGAGTCTTAGCTGAACAGAGAACATAACCTGGAGTTTGCTAAGCTTGTTCCTTTTTGTATGGGCTAATGGAGGATGCTTTCCAAGGGGTGATTAAGCACCCCATAATACCCAAGTCTATATCTTAACACTGCCCACAAGAGTCGCCATTCTGGAGGCCTACTGTAGGAAACTTCGCTTGACCATTTTCAAATAGCTCATCTGTAGTTGGCCTTTTTTGAGACACCGGCAAACTAAGTCACTCAAATACTCCGCCGAGCAACTTATACTATTCAATGTTAGACTTGGGAACTCCATAATATTCAAGTCTCCGTCACCCTTTTGAGTGCAATTATTAGGGAAAATACTTTGTTATCAAGATTTTCTATCTTGTGATGACTTGTTCATTTTGTTATGAATTTTGGATCCAAATACCCTAGTTAGTTGGTGGGTAAGTTAGATCTAAGATCAAATATCATCTATGTTGTGTAGATGAGTTATTGTCGAATTGGTTGAGTTTTATCTCCCTATTGGAGCTTGGTTTAGTTTTTGGCTCTAGACATTGGTTTTCGTTTGTAATCTCAGCATGCCTAAACATCCCTGATTTTGAGGTTTGTATGAGAATGTTCTTCTGTACCTACGGGGAAATAATAGACAATATGATTAAAAATTATAATTAAAGATAGAATCAGGGTAACACCTTATTGTAGAAAATTTGGCTCTATCTCGACTTAGGTGGCTTAGACATGTGTGGAAAAGATATGTAGATGAATGCTATAAGTGTAGATCAGATGAAGGGTAGTCCAACCGTTAGAGTCGTAGGAATACCTAGAAACACTGTACAAGGAACTACTAAGGAAACTTTGGGGTCAATGGTTAGGATAGAGATATGATTTATGGTAGATATTATTGGTACATCATGACAAATCGCACTCCTCTAAAGTTAGCAATTTACTTTAGAGTGTAACGTGAGTAATATCAACCATTAACTAACGAATCATAGGTAGATATTATAGGTGCATCATAACAAATCATGAGTTTGTTAACAACCCTTGCTTTTCTCACTTTACACTTAAGTCAATATAGAGGATCCAAATTCTGACTTATGATAGAACACTATGGTGTCGTTTGATCCTCGCAGGCGACCCAACCTAATATTATAAGGCTTAGTTGCTGTAATATTGAAACAAAACCTCTGAAGAACTAATGTGTTGACATGCATAGCTTGAAGAACCAATTAAATGGTTTACTCTTTTTTTAACCGGGTTTCAACACTGTAAGAGTCCAATATAATGGATGATTTAGCAAGGGGGAGTTGAACAAAAACTTCTTTGTAATAATATCTTGTCTTCATCTTGTATTGCAAGTACAATTAACTTTGTCTTTAGGTTACCTTTACTATATGTTACCTCACTTTTGTCTTTTTTTTCTTTTTGCAATAAACCAGGTTTGAAGAAGTCACTAAATGGTCCAATATGCCAACAGTAAAAGTAGCTGTGACAGTTGATGCTCCTAGAGTTGTGAAATTGGTCATGGATCGTCTTGTGGCTTGAAGTAGCTATGAAGCCGTCCAAGTAACATTATTGATTACTGTCCATCTACTTAAATCGGGTTTCAATGTTTTAAACACATGACTATGCTCACTTCAAAGCTGTTTTGTTTATTCTTCGCCCTATAATTGTGTTTTGGAGCTCTCGGGCATTCCTTTTTACTTCACATTTTAGTTCAATTTCAATGTAAATTAACACTTGTATCCTAATTATTATATAATGGCACAGAGGTACTGAGTGTTCTTTCTTGGTCTCGAATTTAAATTTTGAAATAGGAAAATACGGAAAAATATTGTACTGTACTTATTAAAAATATTGTACCAAATATGTACCATTTATTAGCACTTTATTTGAAAGCGCTATCAAACATATGTTATATATTAGCGCTTTTTGTTTAGAGTGCTATAAAAAAACAAACAAAAAACATGCAAAATACTGACTTTGATAGCACTTTAATTAAAACGCTATTATAAATTGGTACTTTAATAGCGCTTTTAAAGTGCTATTAAATAAGAAATATTTACAATAGTGGCGCGGTTAATAGCACTTTTAAGCGCTATCAAAAACAAAAAAAAGCGCTATTAAATAGCTTATTTGGCATAGTGATAGAATGCAGTAGCCAAATCCTCGCAGTTACGAATACTGGCTCCATTCAGCTGATAGAACCATTCGAGTTGAGTCCCTGAAAGACTATCCTGGAAGAAATGGATCCACAAATTCTTGTCAGCTGTATAAGGTTGGATCTTCCTTACATACGACCGGAGGTGCAGATTAGGACAGGAAGCTCCGTCGTACTTTGCAAAAGCAGGCGCCTTGAACTTATGGGGAATCACCACCCCAGATGATAAGCCTAGGTCTCCAAAGTCCAACCCGGGAACATGTTGAATTTCCATAGCACTTAAGCAGTCCTCCAATTGTTTGTACCTATCCTCAGCAGGAGGATATTGTTCATCATTATAATCCGTCTCGTTGACGGAGACCACGGGACTAGGAACCCTTCTCTCTTGGGGACTGTCTTTCCCTACAGAGGAAGTAGTCAGATCAACCTCATTTTGTAATCCATTCTCAAATCTGCGTCCAGTGTTGAACAATACAGTCCTCTTCTTCTTCTTCTTCAGAATCAGAGTCTTCAACTCCTGTTGACCCTGGGCTAGGCTCATAACTAACTCTTGGAACTGGGCATTCTGGGCCTGGAGGGCCTTGATAGCTTGTTCAGTAGTAGGTTCAGAAGACATGATGATTGCTGAAATAAACAGCGAAGAAGATAAGTGACCTGTGAAAAAGGGTACCTGTTATGCATATGATGCATGGTATGCTATTTATGCAATGCATTCAAGGGTTCGAAAGTTCAAATTCGTTGTAAACAAAAAAGGAACACACGTCATATTAAGAAGTACTCTGTTTAGTACATCAGTGCCCCATGGGCGAAATATTACAAAATACATAATGCCAAAAGACACTGCGCATCCTCTTTGGAGCGATGTAAGTGTTGAGGGTCTTTTCCTCGTGCAGTAGGCGGGTGAGCTCCAAGACCTTCTTCTCACTGGCATGTAAACTGGCTTCAAGAGAATTTCGCTCTTCCTTGAGTTGGATCCATCTCTTTTTCATTTCTTCCCAAGATGTTGGCATGTCAGGATCTAGAATGGTGTACGGGACCTCTCCTTCCATAACTGGCTCTTTGATCACGGGGAGAATGTGAGGATACGTCATCATAAGCTTCTAGGAGCGGGCTCGTACCCACTTGAGGTAAGGCTCAAGGGGGATGGAATTCTTATGCCCCAGTGTCTTACTATCTACATTGTTAGGCATCCTCCAAGCTCTGATGAACCTTTGGCGAAGTCCTTGTGCATCGTTGTCGAAGTCAAAAACTATGTCAGGAATCAGCATGTCATGAGGGCCATCCCTCCGAGCATATCCAAATTGTCTCAAAGCCAGACAGGGGTTGTAAGTGATGCCTCCTCTAATTCCAAGTAAAGGAACATTAGGAAATTCTCCGCAACGATCAATGATAGTGACATTTTCTCTAGACCGAGAACACCAATGTATACCAGAATGTGTGAGGGTCATCAGCCGTTGTGACCACCTTAGGCCCTGCTCGTTCTTCAAAACTGATTGTGGAAGGTGTGAAATAAACCACCTTGCCAGGAGAGGAGTGCAGCACATGAGAACACCTCTTTTTCTCATTGTTCGAGTGTAAAATGAGTGGAGGGTGTCCCCAAGCAATGTAGGTATGGGATTCCTGGACATGAAAATCTTGACAGCATTTATATTTATAAGTTGATCAGGATTCGGGAACAACACCAACCCATAGATAAGGAGTGCCACAGTTTCTTCAAAGGCTTGTAGGTCAAGAGAATTCCAACATTCTTGAGCCTTCTCAAACAGGAACTTTGCCAAGAATCCTTTGATACCACTTCTGATTTCCCAATGCCCCTTGATGTCAGATGGTTGCAGACGTAATGCTTGAGAAACCTCTTCAAGTTTTGGTTCCTTTTCCGTACCGTTGTAGGGTAGTTGACTAAGAATAGGAATTTTCAGAAGTTGAGAAAATTCTTCCAAAGTAGGTACCAATTGATAATCCGGGAAAGTGAAACAGTGGTGCAAGGGGTCAAAGAACTGGAAGAGAACCTTTATCATATCTTCTTCAATGTTGGTGTTGACCAAGATGAGTAGTCTACCATGTCTTTCACTGAAGGGAGAGCTCTCGGGAATCCTGGATGTAAGCTCCTTGAGCTGGGGAGGGACCCATACAAGATTGACCTGAATTGTTTTTCTGCGAAGAGATTCCATGTCCTACAAAACAAGAACAAAGATGAAGATTCGAACCCTTGAAGTGGTTAGTAGATGCACATGATGCTTTATGATGTTATGATGTTATGATAAAGGCACACCACAAGTATTCACAAAAGGCAAACATGGTAAAGGCACACAAGTCACACCAGACAGCCCTTAGAGTTTAGGCCAGCATGAAGTTTAGGTACTACCCTCTTGAAGTTGGTTGGCTCAAAACCTGTCCTATGAATAGTAACCGGGTTCTAAGGAGCTCAATATCATTGGATTGTTTTCTATGTTCATTGTTTTGATTTACCCACTGAACTGGAAACCAAAGTATTCCAAGAAAACAACCCTCAATGAGTGTAGTATCGAGTATCTACCAACTTCGGACTGCACCAAAGTCGATCATCTCACTACCCTTAAAGAGGCCAGGATGGTCAAGTAAGGTTCCTAAGGTCAGTTGATGCTTCACGACACCACGCGGCGGCCCCGTACTCTCCTTGACTTGACTCAAGGGTTACCGGTACTCACCAAAGTGCCACATCAACGTAGCAACTGCTTCAACCATGTCGGTATACCCCGCACAGTTCCCTCACAGTTTGTTGCTACTTCTACAGGGTGTCCCCCAGATCCGGGTTAGGATCTATAAAACTCTGATGCAAGCCTACAATATTAAAGCAAACAAGGCATACAATTGAAAACATAGAATGATATAATCCTAAGGTACACCTCACTTATAAGTATTCCCCAACAGAGTCGCCAGTTCTGTGATCGGTGGAAATAGAACTGACTGTTTTGGAATGCTGGTCCGCGAAATGTCATGGTAAGCAAGAGTCACCACCGTATTTTATGTTCTCCAACAAGGAAAGGACAAAAGCACAGCAAAATTCCTTTTTGATATGTTTCTCGGTTTGGGAGGTATATTATAGAAAGGGAAGGTGTTAGCACCCTTTCTATCTGTGGTTATCCACGGGCTCTTAGGTACTTGCTCACTATGTTTTCAAAAGATGTTGCTTTTCTTGTGTTTGTGGGTTTTGAAAAAAGTTTGTTTGAAAACTTCGCTTTAACTCTTGTATCAGTCCTCAAGAGTGTATGAAGTGTTATTTGAAAACTCTTGTCATAAAAGTGTAGGTGCGAAAAGTAGTTTTCGTTTTGAAAGAGAAAGTACCTTAGAACCTCTACCTACTCAAAAGAAATTAAGCTGTGTAAATGTCCTTTAGACAGTACTATCCCACTATTGAGAAGTAGGTAGCACCGTCGTTGGAGTTATTCGGGTCAATTCGGTTATAGGGACATGTAGTCACCAAAGCAATAGTAGGACGCCTTAGCGGTAACCCTAATGTCTTAGATCCTTTTTATCCGAGGAAACTGATTCGAGGCAACTGGATCTTTAGACAGGAGGGCGACCTCTAAAACACCCTATACTCAATGACCACGTCGAGGCAACCAAGTGAGGCGTACCCTAGGAGTGGCATGTGCACGTGTCTCAGATTTCATGTTAAGTTATCTTTGCACTAGTTATGGTGAGCTACGTTTTGATTTTAATTTTCAGGTAAGTCTTGTCATGCATAGCAGTTAATAGTTGCGGAAAGTAAATTGCGGAAAGTAAATCTACGCTATTACAAGGCGTCGGGTATTTACATCGCCAAAAACAACCCTTGAAAAGTAAATGCGGAAAATAAAGAAAGCGATAAAAGGGGTCCTAATTATCTATTACATCCTCGGAGAAATTACATAAATATGATCAAAAAATAATATGCGCGAAAAGAAATTGAATCGGGAAAGTCCTTAGGGTTTTGACCCTTTTTGGGAAAGAAAGAAGTTTTTGTCCTTTTTGTATTTAATTAATATTAAACCTAAAACTAATTAATTAATTAATTAAAAGAAAAAAGTATTTTTGGAGTTTTTAATGTTTTTAATGCAAATAAAATAAAAAGGAAAACATGATTAAAAGTTGTCAAAACCCTAATTCTATGTTAATTTTATTTATTGTGAAAAAGTCAAAATTAAACCTAATTAAACTAAATTAATTTGTTAGAATTTATTTACAAAAAAATAAAGTGAAATTAATACATAATAATAATAATAAAATATTGTTTTCTGAATTTATTATGAAAATAATTAATTATGTTAGTTAAATAAATATAATAATAATAATTAGTAAAAGAATTAAATAAATAAATATAAAATATAAAGAGAAAAAGGAAAAGAACCCAGGGGGGTGCTGG